CATACTAGTGATACATATCTATGGCATCTTAGATTTGGACATATTAACCTTAATAGGATACAAAGATTGGCTAGTGATGGTCCACTTAACACACCGAAGATCGAATCATTGCCAGTTTGTGATTCTTGCTTGGAAGGTAAAATGACCGAGAGATCCTTTCTAGCAAAAGGATATAGAGCCAAAGAAGTATTAGAACTTAGCTCGTTCTGATGTGTATAGACCCACGAATACACTTGTGATTCTCCCGAGAGATATTTGCCACCTCGATCTGATTGAAGTGTTTAATACTCTTACCCAAATGTTTCTCGACCTCAATCCGACACTCTTTAAATTTCTCAAAAGTATCTGACTTTCAAACTATTAGGTAGATGTATTCGAATCTAGAGTAATCATCTGTAAATTTGATAAAATACTTGACAAAAACTGGTATTATTTCTCAACTGAGTGCGCCGGGCACACCTACAACAGAATGGCGTTTCAAAAAGAAGAAATAGGACATTGTTAGACATGGTTAGGTCAATGATGAGTTTTTCAACTTTAGCTATCTCATTTTGGGGATATGCACTGGAAACATAAGCATATGTTCTTAATTTTGTTCCTTTTAAATCGATTCCCAAGACTCCCCTAGAATTGTGGAATGGACGCAAGTCCAAATTTACGTTACATTATAATTTGGGGATATCCAGCTCATGTGCTAAAACAGAAGGCAAAAAAGTTGGAGTATAGATCAAAGATATGTCTGTTTGTGGAATACCCTAAAAATACCAGGGGGTATTAATTTTATAGTTCTCTAGATATGAAGGTCTTTGTTAGCAAAAATGCAACCATATTGGAGGATAAGTATATTAATGAACGTCAATCCAAGAGTAAAGTCGTGTTGGAAGAAATAAGTGGGAGCAATTCTATCTCATCGATTCCTGAAACAGAACCTCATGATAGTCAACCTTTGGTATCAACAATACCTCAAAAATGTGCTTTGAGTGGCAGAGATGAGTCATCATCTAATCCCATAGATCAAGTAAACGTCGAAGGTATTGAAGAGGTAATGGCATCACCTAATGGTGGTACCAACATTGATACAAATGTTACAATTTCAAATGATGTCACGGTCCGAGATCTATCGACCCTTAGACAAAATCAAATAGTCATCATACCACCTTTTAGATACTTGTTAGTCGAAGAGTGTAATCAGACCATCTCCACAAAACAAGTTGATGATCCGACTTTATAAAAGAAGGCTATGAATGATGTGGATGCAGATTTATGGCAACAAGCTATGAATACTGAAATGGAATCTATGTATTCCAATCAGGTCAGGAACTTGTAGATGTACCCAGAGGGGATAAAACTCATCGGGTACAAGTAGGTCTATAAGAAAAAGAGAAGGGCGAATGAAAAAATGGAAACTTTCAAAGCAAGTCTAGTGGTTGAGGGTTTTATCAACGAGAAGGTGTCGACTATAAGAAGACCTTCTCACCTGTGGCTATGCTTAAGTCTATTCAGATTCTCTTATCCATTGCAGCTCATTTTGATTATGAAGTGTGACAAATGGATGTCAAGATAGTATTTTTGAATGGCCATCTTGACGTATGTATCTTGAGGAGATGTTGATGTTTTCTTTTCTACTACTGAGTTTTGTTGAGGTCTCTCAACACATGAAACCTGACGGGCCTCTATTATTGAAGAACTCAGTAAAGCTCAGCTCAGGTGCATTATGAAATCTGAAAATCTTGATTTCTTTATTAAAATGAGTGGATATCATGTTGAAGAATCCTGGAATTATAGTGCTAACATCAAACTTTTACTTCAACATATAAATCCTTGTAAAATGTGTGCGACTATCCACCAAATTGAGGAAATAATTGTGACCCGCACGAAAGGGAATATGATAAGGCTCCCAACATCACAATGCCACTAGGTCAAATGGAAGCTGAGACAAATGATTGTGAGAATCAAAAGGTAATCGTCTATGTTTTGCAAGAGGACAAATGTAACAAGGATCAACTTTATTCAATTTAGATACATCACAATTCAAACGATTTTTCAAAGTATCTAAACGTCTAAAGGATGGGTGGCCAAGCCTGTTATGCCATATATGAGCTGATACGATATTTACATATGATGTAGAGACACAATTCAGATTGCAATTCAGATTGGTTTTATCCAGAACATAGAGGTCTTCAACCTTATCACCCTTGTCAATCATCTTCTTGGTGCTAGTGTTCCTAGATAGTGAATCAATCAGGAAGAAAATTGACTGTGAGATTTGATCCACAAGTGAGTGCACTTACAGATATCAAGTTAAACTTGAAGTGAGACACATATTAAGCATCTTTGAGAACCAATATAGGACTCGATCTAATGTCACCATAGAAGTTCACAGGAATTTGAGAATGATTTGGTAATGTAACCTTGGAGTTTTGAATAGGTTTCATAGAAACAAAAAGCATCAGACCTAAATCTACTATTCAATACTGAGTAGTCGAAAAGATATGACTCAATGAAATTGATAAGCAAATACCTGTAGTATAAGAAGTGGTTGGTTCATCAGTAGTTTTGACAGAAGCAGTCAAGTGATTGGATAATATAGACATGAGTTGCTGGTATTGGTTGGAATTGAGATTTTGAACAAAGTTTCCAACTTCCTTCTGTTGTTCATTCTAATTTGCCACCTGATTAACAACAATGTTATGGTCGCTGTAGTTTGAGTTGTCTTTATTTCTAACTTTGTAACCAGGAGGATAACCGTGGAGCTTATAGCACTTGTCAACCGTATGACCATGAAAGTTGCAGTGGGTGCAGAAAGGTCTCTCTTTCTTCTTACCTTCGTAACCTCCACTGTTGTAGATGTTTCAATTATCAGTATGATTATAGTTCCTAGCATTAGACATTCAAGTGCATTTAGCAGTGTCTGATTTAACTGCAAAATCCATGCCTCCAACCGGATCTGAATTATAACCAACTTGGCCAGAAATCTTCTTCTGATGTTCCTCTTGAGAGATAAGGCAAATACTTTATTTATAGATGATAATGGCTCCATAAGAAGTAATTGCCCTCGAACTTGTGAATAAGAATCATTCAACCCCATAAGGACATCACGTATTACATATGATAATGTGAACTGAGATTCTTCACACCACCACAAGTGCATTGGCCACAGGAACAAACCGGCCTATAATTGCTTGATTCTTCCCAAATGGTTTTCAGTTTTGTAAAGTATATGCTGACAGAATTTTGACCTTGAGCTAAACTCATCAATTCACATTTTAGCTGGAAGATTCGAGGCTTATTTTTCTGCTGGAAACGCTCCTTTAGATCAAGCCATATTTCGTGTGCTGATTCAACATAAATGATGCTAGCAGAAATTTCTTTTGAAATCGAATTCAAAATCCATGAAATAACCATATTGTTATTCCTAGTCCAAGAGCTGAAGAGATCTGGATGAGTACCTTAAGGTTTTTCAATTGATCCATCAACAAAACCGAGCTTGTTTTTCACTGATAATACAATTAGCATTGCTCTACTTTAGGATGTATAATTTTCTCCGGTAAGTGCCAAACCGGGGCTATCAGAATGATCAAGGTAAAAAGGATTGGAAGGTTCATTTAAGGCAGACTTGCTAGTAGACGATCTCAATTCAGTTTCCATGGTGATGAAGAGGAAGGATCAAGCAAAACCTAGCTCTGATACCATATCAAAGTTTGAACAAAGGAATAAGTAGAAGAGAAATGCTGAAATTGATCTCAAATCTTATCAACCGTGTAATACAATACCAGCAATATAAATAGACAAATTAAGAAACTAACCAACCAAAATCTATTACACATACTAACTAACATGACAGTTTTATTACTAACTAACTAACTAAT